ACCAGCCTAAATTTTGTGGAGTAAGGAGATTGCCTTTTTCTTGGTTAAAAGAGGTCGATAAGGAATTAAATAAATGGTTAAAAGAAGGCATAATACGACCTATAGTGCATAGCAAGTGGGCGACACCGTTAGTCCCCATTAGAAAAGCAGATAATAGTTTAAGATTATGCATAGATTATAGAGTTTCGTTAAATCCATGGATTAGCACAGTTAGTTATCCATTACTGAGGATAGAACAATTATTAGCAAATCTAGAAGGAGCAACATTTTTTTCGAAGATTGATTTTTCTAACGCTTATTTACAGATTAAAGTGAACGAGAACACGAGTAAGATGTTGACAATTACGATGCATAGAGGATTATTTGCATTTTGTCGCTTACCATTTGGTTTGAAAGTTTCGGCTGCGATATTTCAGAGAACAATGACTTTTTTATTTCAAAGGTTAAGGGAATTATGTATTATTTAGATGTTGTTTTAATATCAGGTAGAACCGAAGAAGAACATAATTCTAGATTAGTTAAGGTGTTAGATATAATATTAGAGAATGGTTTAAAAGCTAATATGAAGAAAAGCGTTTTCGGAGTAAGAGAAATAAAGTAATTAGGACATTTTATAAAGGGAAATGTAATTACTCCGATTGCCAAAAATATAGACAAGATAGTAAACATGAGAGCGCCAAGTAATAAGTCTGAATTACAGTCATTTTTAGGAGCTACAAATTATTACCATCGTTTTATTCAAGATTTTGCTGAAATTGCTACACCATTATATAGTCTATTAAAGAAAAATAAAAGATTCGAGTGGGGAGCAGCACAGGAAGAAAGTTTTAAAAAATTGAAGATAAAGTTGGTAGAGAAACCTATGTTGATGTGCTTTAATGAGGAATTAGATATTGTTTTAGCAGTGGACGCATCTAATGAAGGTATAGGAGGAGCTTTATCACAAGTAGTTGATGATGTAGAAAGACCGATTTTATTTGTGTCAAGACAGTTTAATAAGGCTGAAAGAAATTATTTAACTATAGAAAGGGAAGCCTTAGCAGTCAAGTTTGGTTTAACCAACTGTAGAGAGTATTTGTTAGGCCAAAGATTTTTGTTATATACAGATCATAAACCGCTGGTAGGGCTTTTTAAAAGAGATAATAATGAGTTGATGATGTCGCCAAGGTTACAGAAATGGCTGATGTTGTTAGGGAATTTTGATTTCGAAATAAGATTCAGAGCGGGTAAACAAAATTGTTTACCAGATATATTATCGAGATTATGTGATAAGGACTTAGAAGACAAGGAAATAGAGCCAATAATAAATAGTTTAGATTATAGTGAAGAAGAGGAATTAAATAGTAATGTGATAAGAGCTTTAAAGATAGACACAAGAGAAAGGCCGATAACTTTAGAGCTAGTAGACAAGATTTCTTAGCATGATGAAGAATTAATGAGAATTAGAGCCTGTTTGAAGGGAGATAAAGAATGGGAAGATAGAGACCAGGCCTTTAAAAACAGTAGAGAGGTGAATTGAATATAGAAGACAATTGTTTAATGAGAGGATATCGTTTAGTGATACCAAGTAGGTTAAGGAAAGACATGTTAGCAGCCGTACATACAGGACATCAGGGCATAGAAAGAATGAAGAATAAGGCGAGGGAATACATTTGGTGGCCCAGAATGAATAATGAAATTGTAGAATTATCTAAGAGTTGTGAAACATGTAATAAGTGTGCGAATGTACCTGCAAAAGTTAGGGGAGACAAATGGCCAGAAACAGGTGTACCCTGTGAAAGAATACACATAGATTTTTTAGAATATGAAAGGAAGAAATATTTTATAATGGTAGATGCAGGTTCGAAATGGATAGATTGTCAACGGGTATCTAGTCTGACGACGAAAGTAGCATTGAATAGGGTAAAGACTTCGTAAGTAAATATGGATTAATGAAGACCTTAGTATCAGATGGTGGGTAGCATTTATAGGCAGAGATTTTGACAAATTTTGTGATAGATGGAAGATTGAGCATTTATTAGCACCACCACATTACCCGAGAAGGAATGGACAAGCGGAGAGAATGGTAGCTCTAGTTAAGAGTTGGTTAAAAAAGGAAAAATATGAAGAAGGAAAATGGTGGTTATTACTATTAGCGTAGAACAATACCAAGAGAAGCAAAGGATACTCACCAGCAGAGATATTTTTAGGTAGAAAAACTAGAACTGAATTAGATTTTCTGAAAGAAAGAATAGAACAGAAAGAAGTTATAATTAATGACAGATTTAAGATCGAAGCCTAGTTTGGATACTACTTTTTGATGGCCCAGTTAAATGGGGGAAAGGTATAGTGAAGAAGAATATAGGAAGAAAGAAGGTAGAGGTAGAAATTGAAGGAAGAATAGGATTAGTTTCGAGGCATATTAAACAATTAAGATCTAGGTGTCTAGGTTAGGAATAAATGGCGTTGTGAATCGATTAAATTGCTGAGATGTTGAGAATGCTGATAGACATAATTGATTTGTTTTTTAACAAGTCTGCGAGAGTTATGAGAATCAGAATGTTGAGAATGCCGATAGACATAATTGATTTGTTTTTTAACCAGTCTGTGAGAGTTATGATAATCATAATGTTGACGTATGAAATACACAATTAGTAGAATAGATCGGCTGAAGGGATGAACAATTTAATATTACATTTGACGTAAGGTAAAAGAGAATGAGAGAGATATAGGTAGTACGAGAATGATTATGAGTATTTAGAATTAGGAAGCAGGTGAATTATAGGAGATAAATAAATATAGTATATTTTTAGCTTAAATCCGTTATAGATGTCTTCGTACGTTAGAGTGGGCAACTTTATTTTGAAGATTGAAATTAGGATGGTGGATGGATCAGCCGAATCTAAAAGATGGGTACGCCGCCAGAGAAGAGGCACAGATCAGGTATGTAGATATGACGGTAGATAGACCCGCAGACTGGTCGTACAATCGTAGAAGAGAACGGGATTGGGGATCTCGAAGAAGAATGTCTTGCTGGTATTGTGGGGGAGATCATATTTTACGGAGGTGTCACACGATTAGCACAAACAATAACATGTTAGCAGTACAGGAGGAAGAACCGATGGGAGGACAAGGTAGCAGTTTATGAGTGGTAGAATCAAGTCGAAGTGCAAAGGTGTTAAAGTTATGGAAAAAAAAAGTTTTTTTTTATTTTATTATTTAAATATTAAAATGAGAGATGAATATAAAAGTTATCCTTAACCAGAGTTGTTAAAAGATCGAATCAAAAGATCGACGATCCTGGATTCGATTGCAAATTTGTCAATTTTACGAGATTTATGATTCTGACTTAAATTGAGGATTGAGATCGAGATCATTTTGTTTAAAATTCGATCCCGATTTTTTTTTAAATTAATTTTTTACTTAAAAGGCAATAAATAAAATAAAAATTTTGAAAATTAAATTAAAATATTATTTTTTAAAAAAACATCTATCTTCATATTTTATCAACTTCCATTCCACCATTTATTTTATAGATATATTTATTCATTTCTGTTTACGAGATTTAGAGCTCTTACAAGTTATTTAATATAAATTTATAATAATATATTAATATTTATTTTAATAGGTAAATGTAAATGTCCATTATAGATTTAGAAGATTCTATTGCTTCTACTATTGATGTAACAGCAGATATAAGTGAGAATCTTTTACCATTTTTGAAATTACGTAAGTATTTTACTTATTGTGAAATGGATTAAACAACTCTTATAATATGATCAGCACCAAATGCCGTCTCTGTAAGTAGATAATATCATCTTCCAAAATATCATCCTCGAACTTAAAGAGACATTTACAAGTATATCTTTTAAATTTTTTTTATTTCATGTTTAAATTTAATTTATTACATTCCTGAGTTGAGCAGGTCCTACAGAAATAGAATCTAGATACAGATTCTTTATAAAAAAAATGAATTATTAGATAATAATTAATAAAATATTTGATGAAGGGTTAATCTTGGTATTTTTTAATATTACTATTATATTAGTTTAATTTTCAAAAGAAGAGTATTTATAATAAATGGAAGTGTAATAACTAATAATTAAGCCTTTATAATGTATTTTAACTTTCTTTAATATAATTAAAACATCCAGTTCAATGTTATTTGTATTGAACTTAACAATGTTTCACCAAAAGAAAAATAAATAACTATTCTATTATTTCTTTATTATAATATGTTAAATCTAATCAATTAGTATTATAGTTTCAGTTTGAGCTTGATTATATAATCCTCTTGACAACATTTTTAGGGCTTTTTTTAATAATATATTTTTAATTGAAAGTATTTTTTGTATCATTTGACTCAATCCATAAGTTCTTAAATGCCAAAAAGCCTCATTATATTCATAATAGAAAAATACTTTATCAAAATCTTTGGGCCATATCATCTTGGGCAACTTTTAATAATGATAGACAATATTGTAAACTTAAAATTTAAAATAACCTATATGTACCTTTTTTAACCATATATAAATTAAATAATATACTTTAATATGTTTAACAAAATTTGTGTTGAACCCTTTATCATTTTTTTGTTTATATAGGTTTTACATTCAGCCTGTACATTGTTTTTTTAAACTTTAAATTTCCATATAAAATTTTAAAAATGAAATTTGATTTAGAAGATGTTATTTTCATCCAACTTTGATACATACTATTTTTTTCTTTTATAAAGAAAAAGCACAGTGAATTTAAAAATGAGATTACCAAACACCTCAACGAATTCTCTACACAAAAAAATATATCACTGCAAAACCAAAGTGGTTCTGGTTGCAAATCCAGACAATCTAAATTAAATTTTAACAATCTAAACATTCCAGCTGTATCGCAAAAAACATCAGACAAGGTTATCATGTATTTTATTATTGACACCTTCCAACCACTGTCTCTGGTTGATGATCCTTCATTTGAAAAAATGATTAAAACTTTTTCTCCTGCGACAAAAATTATTTGTCGCCAAACACTGGGCAACAGAATATCTACTTCCTTCTCTTAATGACGACAAATCTTATAAGAGATTTGTCTTAAGTTTCTTATGTATGCACCACTGCTGATTGTTGGAGTGGTCATCGAAGGTATATCATATTTATATGAATTTTATAATGTTTATTTTATTAGGGCTTTTATTGAACTTACTGCACATTGGCTGGATCCGTTAACCCTCAAGAGAAGGTCAGCCGCTTTGGCACTGTGGAGGATAATTGGGAGGCAAACATATGATGTTTTGGCCAACAAAATCATGGGTATCCACAAGTTCTATAAAATTCATAATAAGGTGGTGAAGATGGTGACTGACAATGGAACCAACTTTGTCAAGGCATTTAAGTAATATTTATATTTAGCAAAAAATATTTAAATAAATTTATTATTTCTAGAGTTTTTGGAGAAAATGAAGAAGATAGTAGTGAGGATATGGAATTGATAAATTTGGATGACATATTATCCGTTGATGACCCAATTATTCCTACTATCAGCCTACCAAAACATCAACGTTGTTGTTGCTATTATCTTAACCTTATTGCAACAACAGATGCGGAGATGGCAGATAGTGATCTCAATTATAAACGAATATCTAGATCCACTTTTGCAAAATGTTTTGCTTTAGTTAATAAACAAAATATGTCTTCAAAAATTGCTTTCTGAAAAGTTGAAAAGTTTTCAGAAGTAGAACAAGTATGTGATCAAATTGGATTTGCAATGTTTAGGCAAGAGGAATGTTTTTTGTTAAAGAGTATGCAACAGTAATACAGTGATATTCTCTAAATAAATTCAAATTTTATAGGTTATGGAACATTTGGCGATCTCGTTAAAAATCTTGGAATGGGAGGATAATATGGAGCAGGGATATCTAACTCCCGTTCTATCGATATTGATAGATAAATTAACGAAATTTAGCTGCCTGCGGTATTGTCAGCCCCTTGTAGATAGTGTTCTTAGAGGTATTGATAAAAGGTAATATTTTTTTATACAATTATTTTATATTATCAGATATCTGCAAAATATATTAAAATGCAAAGATCTGGAAAATTTAGTAAAATATTTTTAACAGGCCAGTTCTACTAAACCTCTGATATCTAGTAAAATATTAATGGGCCTTTGAAGACATTAAAAATTTATTAGATTATTTGAATTTTAAGCTAATATTTTGATTAATATTCTTTGTAAATAAATTACAATGTTAATTTCTTTATATTAATCTGCCACAAAATATGATGGTAAAAGAAAGATTAGTTGCCCATTTGGGAAATATGCAGGAACAACCATATGCGGATACCTTAAATGAATGTATGGATGACATTGATGCTTTTTTTGGGAAAAATACTGTACAAAATGCTTGTTCCGTTAAAAAAAATTTTTATTCAAATGATGATTTCATGAATATTTTTAATACTTATATTAATTTTAAAAAAATATTTATTGAATATAATACACCTTTGCCATCGAGCGCTCCTGTGGAGCGCTTGTTTCGTAAGGCTAAACATGTTCTAAATGAAAGACGCGGATGTTAAAATGATGATAATTTAGAAAAAATTTTATTATTAAAAGCTAATTTTAATTGTAAATAAATATATTATAATTGTTATATTTATTATTCAACAATAAATTTCTACCATATTTAATTTATTTTTATATTAGTTAATTTTGCATCGGTTATATTATATTATTATTCAATTAAAATAAATTTATAACATATATTAGTTAATTTTGCATCGGTCAGAAATTTCCTTCAGAAATTTAAATAGAAAAAAAGATCGTGTTCGATCCTCTTTTTTGAAAAGATCGTGATCGGGATTCGATCGTTTTTAAAAGATCGGTTAAGAAGCCTGTCCTTAACGAATTTGAATGTACGGAGAATATGATTGTTTATTTTAAATTTTGCATATAAAATGTTTTTTGAATATTAATTTTTGTTATTAACATATAAAAACCCATTATTCTTAACGAACTTGAATGGACGGAGAATACTATTGTTTATTTTAATTTTGCATATAAAATTTTTTTTTGAATATTAATTTTTTTTGATTAACATATATAAACCCGTATTTTGTGAATTATAATTATTCATTTTATTTTGAATTCTTTTTTTTTACATAGTTTGTATTTGGTAATAATAAAGTTATATCCTTAAAAGTTATATCTCCTTAAAAGGTATTATTATATTTATATTGAATATATTTATCTTACCAATTATACCAAAAACTTCGAAATTCAACACCAGTTTCAAACTCTGTTATGGTAATCAAAAAAATTCAAACAATAAATAAATTAGTCATTCAGACAACATTTTAAACAATGTACATTGTGTTCCAATTGAACGGGTACTCTTTTCGTCTTAGCAATAAATCTGCAGGTTCTTAAAATAATTCAATAAAAAAAATTAGATTGAAAGAGGGATAAATTATCAATTTTTTCTGCAAATTTCATTAAATTCTATCAACACGGTAAAAATGGCACATTCAACGTTGGACAAACAAATTTCTAACTTGCCAACATATAAAAATTTATTTTTTTTATTAAACTTTACAACTCATCGAACGAAAACATCAATATTTTAAAATTTAAGTCAAATGTTGTGCTATAATTAATTACTTGCAGCTTGTTTTATTTTCATTGAAACTGCAATGTACACCCTATCATTTTGCAGATTTAAGGGAGGATTTACTGTAAACGGCATTTCATCAGTGAACCATATGTAAACTAACCTCTGAGGGTATTTTCGTTGAAGTTGATTAGTACTTACCAGACGGGCAATCTTATTCGCATCGGTCAGGTCCTAAGCTTGTCTCTTTTTTTAAATTTTAGCTGCGGCTCTTTGAGATAATGGTGTACTGAAGTTTGCGAAATACCAGTTTCTCTGCCAGGTTGGTCTTCTTGACTCAATACCAGTGTTTCAACCATGGTTTAAGATTTTTCAAAATTCAAAAATCTACATAATTCTTACTCTTTTTGAAGATCATAAAATGTAAAGATTTTTTGTAAAAAAATTTTTGAACATGCTCAAAGAGGATTTTTGAGCTAAATAAAAAATGTTTTAGTAAAAAAATCTTCTTTGATTTTCCCTTTTTTTTTTTTTAAAAAAGATAAAAAAAATTCCCAAATGTTTTTATAAAATAACATAAAAGACATAGTCAAAGATTATGAAAAATGGTAAGCGGAAAAAAATCCCCAAAAATAATTCCCCAGAATTGATTTTCTCAAAATTTTTAAATATTTTATTTGAGGATTTTTATTTCGTGGATATATTTATAAGGAATTATTTCTCCTATTTTATTAATTTAATAATTTTTAATATCTTAAAAAACGAGGAATTATTTTACTAGATTCTTTTGAGCATGCTTAAAGAAGATTTTTTTACAAAAAACATTTTTCATTTTGCTCAAAATTTTTTTTTACGAAAAGATTATCCATTTGAAGATTTTTGTTATAACCTGGTTTCAACAGTTAACACTTTCCATAGTACGAGTTGTGCATGGTACCACAGCAAAGCGTTTTTCTGCTGATCTGATAGCATCATTTCGGGAATCAGTCGATTCAATTTGGGCCCTGTTAGAATTTGATAAAATCTGCAGAAAACATTGATAATTATCGCTTTCTCAATCTATAAAAGTTATTGAATTATTTTTATAATCAACAGATTTATTGCTAAAACAAAAAAGTATCAATTCAATTGGAACCATATTGCACCTTTTGTTAGAATCGATTGCACACTGATAATGAAAATAAATTATAAGACACGATACTAAAAACAATAGATAAGACTCATACTTTTATTATTTAAAATATCAATGTCGTAAAAAAAGTATGTGACGGTAGATGTTTTAAAAAATATATATTATAAATTTTTTATATAAAAAAATACAGTTATTATTCAATAAGTTATCCAAAAAACGCAATTTTATAATATAAATATTAAATAGTATCAGAATATATTAAACAAAAATTAAATTACATATAGAGAATTATTAAACCTATTAAGTGCCCCTTTTACAAGTAATTTATTCTCTTTTTAGTGTCCTAAGCAAAGTTGCTTTGTTTAGAAAACAGGAAGATTTATGTTATCTATAAAATACAAATTTCAATTTTATAATAAGAATCACAATCACCGAATTCCGTTTACAGCTTTAAGATAATTGCAGGCAGGTGTGGCGGGTAACTAATTATTTTTTTTAAATATTCATTATGAGAGAAATAAAATGAACGAAAAAGTCACCCATTTTCCTATAACATTATTTCAATTAAATCATATTCCAAGGCAGTGGCGTCACTAGATTTTTCAAATTGAAATGATCGTTTAAAATTAGCAAAAAAAGGAAATTTAAATTGCTATATTATTGTTAAATAATATTTTATTTTTATGTTTCAATAATATTATTTTCGATTGGTATTTTAATGTTTACTGTTTATGGCTATATTTTTAGAATGTGATATGAAAATTGGACATTAGTTTATATTTAAGGCTGTGCCGATCCACATATTTTTCATCGACCGGATCCGATATTGGTTCAAACCCGATCCGATATTTATATTGATTTTTCACCCCCCTTTGAACCAAATGTAATTAAGAAATCAATATTTTTTATGTAAAAAATCGAATTATGCATTTAATTATATTTTTTTATTTCTACAATAATTAAAAAAAGTTTACGGTTATTGGTAGTATTAAATGAATTTTTCATTATTCCTCACCGTGAAATTAGAATTCTACAGATAACGCATTTTGAAAAATTATCTTTGTCTTTTGTAAAATATTTCTATAATTCAGATAACATATTTAAAAAATTTTTATTATTTAAAGTATAAATAATAAAATTGGCGTTATTATTTAAAAAGATTTAAAATAAATAAAACTTCGGGTGTTCCTTTCTATTTTTATAAAAAACTTCTAAAATGCATTTGTATTGTTTAAAAAAAAATTATTTAGAAAATATTATTAATATAAAATAAATATATAAAATAACAAAAAAAAGAAAAGTAAAAAGAACGGATCGGGTTTTTACAGGTATCGGCACGATCCGATATTTTTGGGAAACGCTAAATATCTGTGCCGATCCGATATTTAATATCGGCACAGCCATATTTATATTCAATTTATTTTAAACTGATATAAAAAAATTTCTTAAATAAAATTTATTTTTAATAAAGTTGATTGCAGAACGTTTAATATATTCGACTATTGCAATTTTCTCACTTTTCATACATTCTATTTTTATTGCAACACAAATGTAAAATTAAAAGGAAGAATTCGTCTTTTAAAAATTCAAAATTTTCCTAGAGCTATCAAAAATTTTAAGAGGCTTAAGCCCCTTACCCTCTTAATGCCGCCACTGCTCCAAGGCGAAAGATATCTTCGTTAATCAGTCTTTATTTGAATATCAAACCGATTTCAATCTATATTGGATATTTCATATTTATTATGTTTTTAAAAGTTTGAAACGAGTTTTTTAAAAAGCATTCCAAATTTTTTTAAATTTACGTCATTGATAAGCTTCTATTGAAATCATCAATTTGTCTCCTCTCTAACTTCATCGCCTTTGAAAGTACTTTGAATCTTTTCCTCAGTTTCGACGTCGCGCGGAATTGTATCAAACCCGTCCACCACAACTTCCTTTTCTCCGTCAACTTTCAGGATGGTTGCCAGTTCGGCTAAAGGTTCGTTATCGGACAAGAGGAGAGAAAGTGGTTCCTCGAGAGAAAAGGCCAAAAGCAAGTGAACGAATAGTGTATTGAGATGTGAATGAATGCCTTGCAAACCTAAAGCTTGAAAGTAATGGGAACTATACAAGTGGCTAGTCACTTGAAAAAGCCAACGAGTGATTTTGCGGGCTTGGGTTTCGAAAGAGGGAGGAAAGGGATTGCCTTGAGTTATTATTTTTTTAATTAAAAAAATTCTTTAATAAAAAAATGAGCCAGTAAATTTAGAGGTAAAATTAAAAAGTGGAGATGTATAGGCTCCAATTTTTCCACTGCTATCGATTCTAACAATTTTTAACTACAGGGCCAGGTCCAGTACTAGATCTTATAAAAAAATATTTATTAACTTTCTTATGCGTAGAATATTTAATTCAATAAAGATATTTTTAAATTTATTAATATTTTCAACAGTATAATAAATATAACTAATCGAAAGCATATTGAATATTTTATTCATTTCGATTTTTTTGTGTTTTAACTACTTTGTATATTGATTTCACAATATTTTAAATAAAAGGATGTTTAAAAAAAACTTTTGATTTATAAATCTTCATTTCTTAAAATAAATGTGTTAATATATATATATATATAAAGAACCGGTCACCGGGTATTTTAAAAAAACCGAGTGGATTCAAAGAAGGAAGATTTGGGAGATCCGGTACATTTATAATGGAAATGTACTTGATTTATAAAAAAACCTAATTTTTAAACGCATATTATAATCTTATATTTAATTTATAAATAAAAAATGAATTTAGGGCTCCACTTCTATTTTTTTAAATCATTTTAAACCGTATTTGGTTGGGAATATATTTTCATCTAAAATGATTTTCTGGATACTGGTCATGACATGATCCACAAACAAAGGTGCCGAAAGTTTTGTCTTCTTTCCCTTTTCGTCTATCCATGGATAGATGCTACAATAAATATATACAAAAATATAATAATGCAAATATTACATGTATTTCGTAATACAAACATTGAAAGAATATTTTTTTTTAATTAGCTCAAATTTATACCTTAAAATTTCAAAGATAAATTATAGCTTTCTTCAAGATTCATATAAAAATATTCACCATTTTTAAAAAAAAGTAAGATATAGAAAAATAATGAAAATATTGAATATTATTTTTAATACACATTGCCTGCGCCGACCATGGTAGGACAAGTTATGGGAGTGCAATATTCAGAAATGACTTCGTATAGCAAATTTACATTTTCGAAGATGTAATAAGCTTTTCAATAAAAACGCAAAATATAAATAAAATAAACGTTATATCATTTTAAGCAGACCTGCAGAGGGACCATTACCCGGCCCAGATTTGAAAAAAAAATTTCGGCCCGACCAAGATTTTATACTTTCAGGCTCGACGCGGATTTTTTCAAAAGAAAAAAGAAAAATTTCGGACTTGGTTTTTAAAAAATAATTAAAACATACCTATTCGGCATTTTACCCATCGTTTTTCAATGAATATAAAATTCATATAATATAACTTTCCAAATTATCTTATCTCCCCATTTAACTTAAAAGGAGTGAGTTTGAATAATTACACTTTCAATTCGACTGGTAGATGGTAATTTCCTTATTTTCTGCTCCTGCTGTAATTTAATATAGTCTTTTATATAAGTATTAGCCATTTTGCGCCATCTCCCTGGCATGCGTAATTGCCTGAATTTGGGACAGAGAAAAAGAGAGATAAAATGATGCTTATCTAAATAAATTTTTCCAGCATTATATTATAAATATTGAGTGTATACGTAGCTTTTAATTTGATCGAATATCACCTAAAATAATGATTAGTTGAATAATTTATTTGAATAATATTACTAGAAATATTTTCTAAGGATCGAAAAAATGGAAACGTGAAACATGATACAGGGTTTCCCATCCAAAAAAGGAAAAGTCCCAATCAAAAAAGGAAAAGGTTCAATCAAAAAAGGAAAAGTGTCAAACAAAAAAGGAAAAGGTTCAATCAAAAAAGGAAAAGTCCCAAAGGTTAAGGAAAAAGTCCAATCAAAAAAGGAAAAGTGTCATACAAAAAAGGAAAAGGTTCAATCAAAAAAGGAAAAGTGTCAAACAAAAAAGGAAAAGGTCCAATCAAAAAAGGAAAAGTGTCAATCGAAAAAGGAAAATTCCCAAAAGAAAAGGAAAAGGGTCAATCAAAAAAGGAAAATTCCCATTCAAAAAAGGAAAATCGTAATTTTTTTAAAAAAATATATAAACTTTTCAATTTTTCTTAAATTTATTTATTTTTGTCATTCCTTCTTATTTTATTTCTAACTTTTTGCGATTTCTTTATTTTATTTGTATCTTTTCTCAATTTTTCTTCTTCTCATTTTTGATAATTCTTTTAAGTATATTTAATTTTCACTAAATTTTTGGCAGACAACTTTTTTATTATAATTTTTTACATATTAAATTATTTAATTACAATTACGATATATATTTAATATAGTACGAAACAAAAATTTATATTAATCATTAATAATTTCTCCCCTTCTACATTTTGGGATATATGTCTCCATATTTCTAAAATAATTTTTTGCATTTTCTTCAGATATTCCTCTTTCTCCATGTTCTATATAACGAATTAATTCTTCCTCGTTACTAGGATTTTTATTTACAAAATCCTTCCATAAAAACATTCTCAATGGGATTAAGATATGGACTGTAGGGTGGTAAATATTTCAATGTATGTCCTTTTCTTTCGATCGATTCCCTAATTGAATGTGATGAAATGGAACATTATCCATCACAAAAATCATATTAATCATGTTAGATTCTTCAAAATGATTTAATATTTCATTTATAAAGTTGCTAAAATATATAGCATTGCAAGGGCCATCAAGAACTTCGAATCGAAATATTCCTGCAATTGTGAGAGCCGCAATGATTGTGTAATTTATTGTCTTTATTCCTTGAACATTTTTAATTGCCTTTTTATTTATTTGGGAATATCCATATAATAGCCTCATTGATATTGAAAACCCGCTCTCATCAATATAAATTTTTCCTTCATATATGCTACATCTAAAAACCAATTCGCGTATTCTTTGCGAATCTCTATATTTGATTCGTTATTTTCTCTAACTGAACGTAATGATACTCTTTTAAAGCTGTACCTAAATCCTGAGAGTAACCTTGATACCGTATTTTTTGATATTTCCACACTTTCTTTAATGATTTCACATAACCTTTGTAAGGATAAAGTGCAATCCAAATTTATACAATTTAATATATATTCTTCCTGCTCTTTATTTAATTTCTTGCGTGCGCGTGAACCTCTTTGGGTAAGCTATATTTTATTCCATTTTTGAGATGAGAGTATTTAATATTTGTCACTGTCTTATAGCTTAATTTAAAACATGATGCTATATTTTTGATACTATCTTTTTTTAACGCGTCAATTATTAGAGCTTTTGTTTCACTGTTAATATTTTTCCCCTTTTTACCATATCTTCATAATTTTATTTTTTAAAACAAAAAAATTTATTTTTAAAGTATATACTCAACAAATGGAAGTGAAAAAGATTATAAAATTTACCTCATTTGCGTTTAATTTTTCATAAATCAAAATAGTTTAAAAGATAATTAAATTACAAAATAATTATTTACTTGCTAAAAAGAATAAATGCGTTTTGAATATATTAAAATTTTTAAAATATAAGAATTTTAAAATTATTATATTTTATTAATTTACATATCGTTTGGTATTACAGTTCAAACTTATTTATTATAACCAAACGATTAATTTAATATTGTAATTATAAATATGTATGTAAAAAATAGTCTGCCAAAAAAAATAATATAATTTTAAAAAAGAATTATCAAAAATGAGAAGAAAAGAAATAGAGAAAAGATATAGTAAGAAAAATAAATTGAGAAAAGATACAAATAAAGTAAAGATATAGCAAAAAGTTGGGAATAAAATAAGAAGGAATGACAAATAAATAAATTTAAGAAAAATTGAAAAGTTTATATATTTTTTTTAAAAAATTACGATTTTCCTTTTTTGAATGGGAATTTTCCTTTTTTGATTGACCCTTTTCCTTTTCTTTTGGGAATTTTCCTTTTTCGATTGACACTTTTCCTTTTTTGATTGGACCTTTTCCTTTTTTGTTTGACACTTTTCCTTTTTTGATTGAACCTTTTCCTTTTTTGTATGACACTTTTCCTTTTTTGATTGGACTTTTTCCTTAACCTTTGGGACTTTTCCTTTTTTGATTGACAATTTTCCTTTTTTGATCGGACCTTTTCCTTTTTTGATTGAACTTTTTCCTTTTTTGTTTGACACTTTTCCTTTTTTGATTGAACCTTTCCCTTTTTTGATTGGGACTTTTCCTTTTTTGGATGGGAAACCCTGTAAGTGAATGAATGTGATAGTTCTATGATACATGCATAATTTTTAAATTTTATAGAAAGTAATAACTAATTATAATATTCAGACCGGCCAGGCATTATTTTTTAAAAATTTTAGGCCTGACCCGAATATTCTTAAAAAAATAATTTTTAGCCCCCTCCCCTCGGGTACACTTGCCTTGCAGGTCTCTGATTTTAATAAATCTAATAATTGGTATCCTTTTTTATGAATACAAGTAGTTTAAAAGACTATGAATTGCTAATATTATATTGTTAGGAAAATAAATGATGATAAAAAAAATAGGCTATTAAAATAAAACAATTTATCTTAAAATTTAATTAAATATATTATTACATCCTTTACTCAATAATCTTCCCATTGTAAAATTGGATCAAGTAAATTAAATACATTAAAAAGTATAAAGTAATATTATATTAAGTGGTTTGTTTTTGTTACTCTAAGGACTAGTGCCATAAAGTGTATCCACCAGGCCAAAATGAAGGTGGGGATAAATTGGTAGTGTTTTTTTAAGGTATTTTTTTTTCACTTAATGATCATATGTTTTTTCGATAGTATATGTAATAAAATTATATAATCAATAAATTTTCGGTGTTATCCCTTGTTTGGTTTAAAAAATGTTTTTCCTTATTCTCATTCATATTGATATTTTTTTCCATAATGTGGTTGTTGTTCAATTTACATTAAGAGGCTACAATATGAAGTAAACTAATTATTAAAAGTTAGGGTATAATTTTAAAGAGAGGAGGGTGGGGGGTTCCATTAGTAGAAATAATAAAAACCACCCAGTGATGAAAAAATGAATTTGAGTGGTTTACAAATGATTTACCCGAAATTACAATTCTGTTTGAGGTTAAAAACAAATATGATTTAGTTAAAAACATATATTTCGTCGCCTGAATATTATTTTAATCTATCTCCACATTTCCCAACTTTAAAGGAGAGCGTTTTTAAAAAAAATGGTCCTGGTCCTATTTCAAAACGGTAAGAGCTAGAAATTTAGTTTTTTTAATTTTAAAGATCACATTGAAAATAGTATATGATGAACTAGAGATCTGTAAAGTTAGGCCGGGCCTAATATTTTTAAAAAAAAATTCGGGCCGGGTCGGGTCGAACCTTGGAAATTTTATTATATATATCTAAATTTATCAATTTTATATTGAATTTTTTATGTAAAATAAAAATTTTTGATTTAATTTATTGAACCTAAACGCTATATAACATATGTCTTTTATTTTAAGTAATTATAAAAATTAATTTCTCTATTTAAATAAATTCGGGCCTGGCCGGGCCGGTAAAATTTTTTAAAATAAATTTCGGGTTCGGACCGGGCCGGCAAAACTTTTTAAAAAAATTTCGGGCCGGGCTTGAAAAATTGGGTCCGATGCAGATCACTAATATGAACTAATTTTCATATATAACGCAAATATAGTTTTCCGGAAAATTGCAATATAATATTTCTAGATGTGGATATAGAATAAAATTTCAAAATTTGAGTTGCAAAAAATTCTTAAAGTTTTCTATTCCTGGAGATAGAATAAAAATGTATAAAAATCAAATTTTAAATTCAAAATTCATGTTTTATTAATCTATATCCATGTAAAATTAGCATTCTTTTTTAAAATCCTCCAAGAATAAATTTTAACAGGTAATTCCTCAAATTTTATTTAAAGGTTTTATAATTATATGACATATAAATATAGCATCCAATAAAGTTCTATCAAATTCTGGGCAAAATTTGAGCATTGACTTAAGGTCTTAACCTTTTCCTTGCTTATCAAGCATATTTTACTAGTCGCAATATTGGAATTATATCCGGAATTATCTGACTCATCATAATATTACTTTTTTGGGGG